ATTGACAAGCTTTACAAGAGAGAGCTCTATAAGAAGAGTCTCCTCTCTTGGAATTAAGTTAGACAACATTTTAGAGGGTTTTGATATTAGGGTTAGGAATTTGTATCTATCCTATATCTCTCTCTCTCTCTCTTTCTTGAGCTTAGTGTGTGTGTTTTGTCTTACTTTTGCTCACAAGCACCCACCATTACACCATCCCTTGGAGCTGAGACCTCTTGAGGGTTGTTTTTGAGGTTTTGAAGTTGGTTTCAACCTAAAAGAAGCTGTGGTCACCATTGTTGAAGGAGTCTTCAAGGGTAAGAAACTAGTCCCTTTATTCCCCATTCTTGCATACTTATTTTGCCTATCTTAGAACTCTTTTTTGTCTTAGTGTATAACATAAAAAAATTCTGTTTTTAGGCCCTCTAAATAGTTTATTTAGGGTGTTTTGTTGTTTGAGGTTGTTTGACCCCTCCTAAGCCTTGTAAGGCTCCATTTTGTGCTATTTTGTGTAAGCTCCGAGACCTTGGTGTTTGGGCCTCCTCACCACTAAATCTTGAGGGATTTCAGAGGTGAGGATGGTGCCTTGAGGTCCCAAGAAGGAGAGGGCCACCCCCTCTCCTTGTTGTCCTTGAAATGGACCATTTTGCCTCTTAAGGGAGCACCTAGCTAAGCTTCTGTTGACCATGCCTTGGCCTTTTTTTGTGCTTATTATGTCATAAATATGCCTCTTTTTTTGTTGGTTTTGGTACACCATCATGCTTAGCATACCTACCTTGTAATGCCACTTTGTTGCCTTAACATGCCTTAGGTTGTAAACCTTGTTCTAGCATGTTTTAGGCTTAGCTTTGTGAAGCTTTTGTGCATATTTTGCCATGTTTAAGGTCTGTCCTAGGTTGTTTGGGTCGGCTTTGCATGCATAGTATAGCCCCTTTGCATTCCGGCTTGTTGGCCTTAAGTGTGTGAATGTATAGCATGACATTCTTGCATTGATTTAGTGGTTTGGAACTATCCACCATGTCATTTCAGTCCCCTTTGCATGCTTATATGCTTGCCTTGGATGTCTCTTTGATGCCTTATGAGCTTGTGTTATATGCTCCATGTTTTGGCCATTGTACATGCCTTTGAATTTGAGCCACTTAGATGCCATCTAGGGGGTCCCGAGCAAGAACGAGCATGCATTGCATCGAGCTCTCTTCCCGAGGTGGTTTACTGTTTTTCCTTAGCTTAGTTAATTTGTTAACTAATTAAAGTAATTTGTAATAATTAATTAGCTAGGATAGTTAATTCATTATTCAACTGTATTATTCTTTCGATCCCTCCGAGCGAGGGTAAACTTGTAATAAGTGTGGGTGAGTGTGTGCATGTCTTCCAACCCCCACTTCTTTCTCCTTTTACTTACCTGCTTTAATGGTTAGTAATAGGTCATGTTTGAATTAACATACCTTATGCTGCGCTATGCGTGCATCCATGCATTTGTCTCGCACGCACCGAGCTCGGTACATCATGCTAACTGCATTTGTATTTCAATTCCAAATTGAATACGTGCATCAATTGATTGCATTTCACATGCCATGTTTAGGTTAGCCGAGCCTACTCTAGTGACATTCTGTATGTGTTGCATTAGACATTTAA